ATCCCCAAAGTGAGGACCCTCCTGGGTCCTCTCCGGAAAACCTTACCGGAGCCTTGTCCCAGCCCTGCTTCCCATCCCTGGGGTCAGGATGGGGCCCCGCTGCCACCCTGGGCCTCCCCAGGGACACGCAGGGTGGGGGGGTCACTGGCCCCCACCAACCACCCAGAGACGTGGCTGGGTTTAGCTGAAAGACCCAAATTGCTGGAGCCAAAAATAGCCCCCGACGCCAGGCGGCGAGGGGGGAGCATGGGGATGTGCCAGGACTGATCACATCTTGGCGCTGGCACGTCCCCGCGGCAAGGCACGGCACAGCTCTGCCAGCACCCGGCAGGATGGGACCCTGCAGGGGCTGCGTCCCCGTCCCCAGTGGGATCCGTCAGCAGGCCACAGTGCTGCTGGCTGGGGTTGAGCTCAGTCCCTTTCTGTGCCTCAGTTTCCCCACACAGCTGGTCGCAGGCGAGGGGTCCACGGGGTCCCCTCCATTGTTGGGTTATTTCAGGGCTGGCTGCAGCACTTGTGCTTTTTTTTTTTCCGTACTATTGCCTCGCGCTGGGTGACGAGTGGCTTGGGGCGCTGGCGCCGGGGCGGTGACAGCGCGGTGACAGCAGAGGGGGGACGGCGATGGGGACCGGGACAGGAGTGATGCCCCGTCCGCAGCATCCAGCCATGGCCTCATCCTGCCCTCCTCTCCCATCTCTTCCTTTCCGCTCTGCCGGGCAGGGCCACAAGGAAGCCAAATCCTCTTTTCTCTCCCACAGAATAAAACCAGTGGAGGGGTTGGTTTTTTTCTCTTTCCCTCCCTGTCTAATTTTTTTATTTTTTCTTTTTTTTCAATATAAATAGAAGCGAACAACTGGGAAGAGGAAGGGGGAAAGGCTTAAATTTAAAAGCAGCCAGAAGAGGAAGGGGAGGAGGGAGAGAGATAAAATAATAAAAAAAAATTAAAAAAAAAAAACAAAAAACCTCTAGCACGGAGAGATTTAGCTCCATCTGAAAGCTGTCAGCGCGAATAAAAAGCTTTTCTTTGAACCCTGAGTTTAATAGCGAGAGGAGAGAGAGGGAGATTGGAGCACCAGCCCCAGGGCTTAATCAGCCCTTCATTTGATAAATAGAGGGAGACAGGGCCGGGAGTGGGGCTCCCCGGCCCCCGCCGGGTCCCAGCGCCTTGCCGGCCTGCCCCACGCCCAGGGGACATGTGGGAGCCACGCGTGGGTCCACATGTGGGTCCGTCGGGGGCACGGGAGAGCCCTGCAGGGATCCCACATGCCTGCCTCTGCCCGTGCCCCCCATGCATGTTCCCACATGCAGACACATTCCCCTGCACACATGCATGTTCCCAACACCCATGCGTGTGTTCCCAGGCACATGTGTGAATTCCCATGCACGCATGTATATGCTCCCAGGCACACATGTGCATTCCCACACACGTGCACGTTCCCATGCACACAGACACATTCCCATGCACATACGCATGTTCCCATGCTCACATGCATGTGTTCCCAGGCACATGGGCACATGCTCCCATGCACACATGTGTATTGCCATGCACAAATGCATATGCTCCCATGCATTCCCATGCACGCATGTGTGTTCCCACACACACAGGCATGTTGCCATGCACACATGCACAATCCCATGTACACATGCATGTGTTCCCATGCATACCTGCATGTGTACCCATGCACACATATATGCATGCACGCTTAGAGCCCAGGGCCACAATCCTCTCCATGCCCGCCGCAGGGTGAGGAGCGGGTGGGATCAGCTGTGCCGAGGTGCCAACGCTTCCCGGGGTGGGCGGTGTGGCGAGGCAAGGCAGGCACGGTGATGAGGCAAGGGGGGGCACAGAGGCGAGGCAGGCACCCCTTGCCTTTTAAGCCTCCAGCCTTTGGGAAGCTGCCCGTCTCCTCAGCATAATGTCAAGGCCCTGCAACATGGAAAGACTTTCAGCGCTCGCTGTGCCGTGGCAATCCCTCGGCGTGCAGCCTCCCCCGCGCCCGCTGGCTCCTTATCACCCTCCTCCAGACTAAATAGCCCTTTGCCCAGCAGGACAGGCAGCGCAGGAGGTTTGCTTGATGAGGGTGGAGACATTCAAGCCCCCCCACCCCACCCCACCCCAATCCCTGGGAGCACCCCCAGCAAAGCTCATTTGAGGGGGAGAGGGAAAGGGAAGGAGGCAGAAACCCCCTGCAAGCCGGCGTGCAACATGTACTGATGGCTCCCGCGCTCTGACAACCGCCGCCAGCACCCACTGGTGACCTGTCGCCTCGGCTGGCACGGGGAGGGGGGGTAGCACCAGCACGCACCGGTCCCTGCCCCGGGGAACTGCTGCATGGGGTGCGGGATGGTCCCGGCGATGGGTGTTTCAGTGCTTGGGGACAGCTGCGTGGTGACGGGCATGGGGGGCCAGTGGCAGTTGCATCCACTCTGCACCGCGTGGGTACCATGGGGCATCCCTGCTGCGGCGGTGCCTTCGCCCCGCTGGGGAGGAGGGAGATGCTGCCTGGGGAGCTCACACCCTAAATACCCGTGGCAGCCGATTATCCGCTGCTGGGATTAGCAGCCGAGCTGGAGTTTGCCGGAGCTGAGCAGGGGCAACATCCCCTGCACTGGGGATGCTGGCACAGCTGGAGGAGGGCAGAGCATCCAGAGCGGGTAGCTCCTCGCTGCCTGCCGTTGTCACCTTCATCTGCCGAAAACATCACCCGTGTAGCGCCATGCCAGCCTCGTACCATGCCAGGCCTGTGCCGTGCCAGCCGGGTGCCAGGCCACAGCTGCCCGTCGGGCAGGCAGAGGGCTGCGGGTGTCCGTCCCGTGCTGTCTGGCAGGCGGCCGCCGCTGCCTTTGCCTCCTCCCACCCGTCTCGCTCCCCCTTTCCCGGCTCTGATCTTCCCTCACGCCCACCTCTCTCCAGGCACCTTCCTCTTTGATCTCCGCTCTGCTTTTTATTCCCCCCTCCCCTCGGCCCCCCCATTCCTGCTCCATCCCTCCCCTCCTTCCCTCCCCTCTCCCACTCTCTCCTTCCCTTTATCTCCCTCCCTGCCTGCATCCCTGCTCTGTCTCCCCTCCCAGGGGGGCCACAGGGCTGGCAGGCGTGGGCTGGGGGGGGGAGGCCAGGGGGGGCCAGGAGCAGTGGCTGTCCCCAGATCACCACTGTGGGCTGCAGGTCCCTGGTGCACGGCCAGCAGTGCTGCGAGGCCTGTTGGCTGCACCCTGTTGTGCTGGGGTGCCCCGTCGTGGGGATCCTGGGGTGTCTGATCTGGAGGTGTCTTATCCCAGGGATCCTGGGCTGCCCCATCCCAGGGATCCTAGGGTACCCCATCCTGGGGATCCTGGGGTGCCTGATCTGGGGGTGCCCTATCCCAGGGATACCTGGGCACCACATTCTGGGGAACCTGGGATACCTCATCCCAGGGATCTGGGGTGCGACGTCCCAGGGATTGTGGAGTGCCCGATCCCAGGGATCTGGGGTGCCATGTCCTGGTGATCATGGGGTGCCCGATCCCAGGGATCCCGGGGTGCTATGTCCCAGCAATCCCAAAATATACCAGGTCCCAGGGATCCTGGTGTGCCCTATCCTGGGGATCCTGGGATGCCTGATCTGGGGTACCCCATCCCAAGGATCCCTGGGTACCCCATCCTGGGGATGCTGAGGTGCCACATCCCAGCAATCCTGGAGTGCTTAGTCCCAGGGATCCCAGGGCATCCCATCCCATGGGTCCTGCGGTGCCATGTCCCGGTGATCCCAGGGTACCAAATCCCAGGGATCCTGGGTGCCATGTCCTGATGATCCCAGGGTACCAGGGATCCTAGGGTGCACCATCCTGGGGTTTTGGGGATGTCTGAAGCTGACCCTTTCAGCGTACCTGTCGGCAAAGCCTGGCACCTGGGGATGCCGCGTGTGGGTTGTGGGGTCTCTCCAGCTCAGGACCCTGTGGATTGCCATATCCCCACCCTGTGCCAGGACCCACAGGCAGGCGCCGGGGTGATGGTGGCGGATCAGTCCACCATGGTGGGCATGGCGAGGAGGGTGCCAAGCGCCAGCATGTCCCGGTCCCTTTGGCAGGAACAGGCAGCCCGGCTGTGCCTCAGCACCACGACGTCCTCGGGGCCAGCGGGAGGGCGGAGGCTGCCGGGAAGGGAGGCCCCTGGGCCCCCCTGGGCTGCGGCAGGGGGATTTCGGGAGCTGTCGCGGGCTTTGTTTGCAGGATCAAAGGCAGGAGGGAGGCCAGAGCCCACAGCTCTCCCGGGATGCAGCACAGGCTGGGGACAAATCTGAGCAGGTTGGGGTGCCTGAGCTGTGGCTGTGCCTGTCTGGGCCATGGCAAGGGCATGGGGCACCCCATGAATGGCATGGTCATGCCGTGCTGTGCCGTGCCATACCAGGCCCAGCAGGGCCACGCAGGCGGAGGCCGTGCTGGGGACTTAGTGGCTTCATTATCCACAGCTCGCTCATCCCCAAAAGGGATTTCTGCCTCCCCCTCTCCTGCACCACAGCGGAAATCATTTGAATATTTTAGAAAAAAGGCTCTTAAGGGAGGGAACCACCGGAGGAGAGGCAGCTCCTCCGCCTCAATGCCCCTCTCCCCACTACCGTCCCAGGGTCCTGGTCCCCATCCCCTGCCTTGGGGCCAGCAGCACACACATGTGTCAGGCATGCCCGCACTGGCACATGCCACGCGTCGTCCCCCCCGCCGCGTCCTGGTCGATACCCACTAGCCGTGTGACGGGCGCTGTGCTGGGGCTCCAAGATCAATCCCAGTTGCTGCACAGGGCTGGGGCTTAGGGGCACAGCGGAGCCCAGCTTGGGGGGGTCCAGCACCCCCAGCAGCCCCTCCAAAACCTCCAGGGACCACGGCGACCCCTGGGGGGGTTCCCAGTGGGGCCGTGCTGGAGGCAGCTCCGTGGCAGCTCCATGACGGAGCACCGGGCGCTGCCGGCATGGCCACCGGCATGCGGGGCACCCCGAGCCCTGGCTGATCCCCTTCCTCTGTCCACAGTGGCACAGACGCGGTTCGTGGAGGAACCAGAGGACCAGACAGTGGTGGCTGGCCAGAGGATCGTCCTCTCCTGCGTGGTGCTCAATTATTCTGGGATCGTGCAATGGACCAAAGACGGCCTCGCCCTGGGGATGGGGCAGGGGCTCAAAGGTACCCACGGGGCCGCAGGCGGTTCTGGGGACGTCACCGTGTGGGGCAGGGGCTGTCACCGAGCGGGAGGCTCTCGGGACATCTCCTGCGGTGGCTGCTTCCCTCCTCTCTGTTTCCCAGCTCCCTGTGCAGCATCCCCAGCTGCCATGGGGCCGGTGCCACGTGCCCCAGAAGCGAAGCCCCAGCTGGGGCTGGGTGCCCATGCTCTGCTCCTTCCTGCATGTGCTGGGGTCCCTGCGCACACCAGGGTCCCCATGCGCACTGGGGTCCCTGCATGCACTGAGCATGCCACATGCACCAGGGATCCCACATGCACCAGGTCCCCGCTGGCTGCCCATGTCCCCACCAGGGCTGGCACCAGGTACAGGCAGAGACCTGCCTGCAAGCTGGCAGCCCCTCAGATCTGCCCAGGATGTACCCAAATGGGCAGGAGCTGATTCTCCATGAACAGGGGGTTCCCTTCCACACTGGCCTCTCCTCCCTGAAAAAGCGGCCCTGGAGCATCCCCCCCAGCCCTAGAGAATTTGGGTAAACCCCGTCCCCTCCATGTTGACCCTCCCCATGCTGTCCTTGCAGCCTGGCCACGCTACCGCATCGTGGGCACAGCCGACTCAGGCCAGTACAACCTGGAGATCACTGACGCCGAGCTCTCCGATGACGCCGTGTATGAGTGCCAGGCCACCGAGGCTGCACTGCGGTCCCGCCGGGCCAAGCTCACCGTGCTGAGTAAGAAGCCAGCCCCTCACTGCACCCTGTGTCCCCCACTGCACCCCACGTCTCCCGAGCCATCGCAGGCAGCACGGCTGCTCGCAGGCACAGGAAAGGCTGTCACTGCCTGCACTGCTGCCCTCCCCCTTCCCTCCAGCAGCCTGGATGTGCCATTATCTTTAATGCCTTAATCTATATTCACGCCATGGCTGAGTTACGGGACCTACGAGTGCAGTAACTTTGATTTCCCTGACTTTTGTGTCTTGTAAAAAAAAAAAAAAAAAGGAAAGAAGATGCTGGAGCCGCAGCAGAAATGTTGCATGAATGGGGTTTTGGGGCAGATTTCTTTCTTTTCTTAATTTTTTTTTCCCTCTTTCTCCTTCTTCCCCTGGCATTGAAATTCCCATTAGAAAGACAGGAGATAAAAGGCACACGAGCAGGAGATGTGGCTGGGGTACTGAGCAGCATGGTTCTCCCCATGCCGCAGCCACTGGAGCCCCCCCAGGCAGGAACTGTCCCTGGGGACCCCCAGCCCAAAGGGGCCGCGCTTGGTCTGGGGGGCTGTGAGCAGGTGGGAACAGCCTTACCCCAGGGTCTTTGGGGTGGCACTGCCAAGGCTGGGGGTACCTGGGGTCTCCTCCATCCCCTGCCAAGCTTATTGGGGTCCCCCTGCATCCCCTGCCCATTGTTGGGGCTCAGCTGGGGCAGGGCAGGAGGTTCCCCAGGCAGGGGGGTCCCAAAGCAGGGGGTTCCTTGGGCAGGGGGTCCCTGGGCATGGGGGTCCCTGGGCAGAGGAGGCTTCTGTGGGTATTGGGGTCCCCAGAAAAAGGGGGACCCTCCCTCTCCGCCCATCCTACAACCACCTCTGCCCATCCTACTACCACACTCTTCCACCAGACACCCGGTTCCCATTCCATCATTACCACCAGCTCCCTGGGGCAGTTTGCAAACAGCCAAGGCTGTTCCAGCGCATCCATCTCCGCACGCATGGCACAAAACCCCCAAGCCCCCACATCAGGGACACCCCAGGCCAGGCAACTGTGCCTAGCTTGTGCCTCCTGCCCCAGCTTCTGCCGGCACAGTGTCACCAAACGGCATCTTTACCCCTCCCTGAGAGCCGAGCCCTAATAAATCAGTAACGAGGCTTTAGCTCCTGATCAAAAAGGGGATTAATACCCACACGGCACCAGCCCAGTTGACACTCTGCTGTCAAATGCTGCCTGCAGTTGCAGGCAGCAGGGAGGAGGTCTGCTTCCGCTGCCCTTAAATCACTCTCCCTTTATCAGAGCAGCATCAATTTTTCAGCATCATGTGGCATAGAGCGGGGTCTGCCTGTGCCCGGGGCTGCAGGCAGGAGCCCTGGCTCCAAGCAGCTGGCACCCACCCGGTGTCCCCTCTCCCCTCTGCAGTCCCCCCCGAGGACCCCAGCATCGATGGAGCCCCTGAGATCCTGCTGCGTGCGGGGACGCCGTACAATCTGACCTGCCGGGCGCGCAACGCCAAGCCAGCGGCCACCATCGTCTGGTACCGGGATGGGCTCCAGCAGGACGGAGCCATCACCAGCACGGTACGAGGATGCACCGGGACCCCGCATCCATCCCCTCCACCCCGCGCCATGCCTCAGTGTCCCCAGGGCTGTGCTGGGAGCCGACAGGGACCATCCCCTCTCCCTGGCAGGAGGTGTTGGCCGACGGCAAGCGGGAGACGACCACCAGCCAGCTCGCCATCAACCCAACTGACCTTGACATCGGACGGGTGTTCTCCTGCCGCAGCACCAATGATGCCATCCCAGCGGGCAAGGAGACCTTCATCAAGCTCAACGTTCACCGTGAGTCAGTGCTGGGGGTAGAGGGGACAAGCCCTGCATGTCGGTGGCATGAGGAAGGCAGGGCGAGGTGGCATAGGGGTGCAGCTGGGGCAGGGAACTGGAGACAAGCTCTGGGGGTACCTGGGTGTCGTGGGGGACCCCAGCCCCGTGTTTGGAGCTGGGTCCCTGCAGAGGGGCTGTGCCCACGGGGGGATTCACCCAGTCCCACCCGGCTGGAGGCGGGAGGCCGGGCTGGGTCTTCGTGGTGAACACCGACCTCCAGTGGCTGCTGCGGGAAGGCTCTGCCCTGCCAAGGCCCGGCACCCACCGCCAGCACCCACACTGGGCACGGATGCTGGGTGCCCACACCAGGAGGGGATGCTGGGTGCCCACAGCAAGCATCCACACCGAGAAGGAATGCTGGGCACCCACGGTGAGCACCCACACCAGGCAGGGATGCTGGGTGCCCACACTGGGAAGGGATGCAGGGCACCCACGATGAGCACCCACAATAGACAGGGATGCTGGTTGCCCACACCAAGCATCAGAGCTTTTGGGATCTCCCACACCACGGGCCATGCCCTGGGTGGCAGCGTGGGGAGGGGAGGATGCAGGCAGCGCTGGGCAGGGGGATTTTCTCTTTGTCCCCTCTCCCTCTGCCACGCTGAGCCTGTGCCAGCACCCGTGATGGCTCCGTCTGCCCTCCCCGCAGATCCCCCGACTGTCACCCTGTCCATCCAGCCCCAGACGGTGCAGGAGGGCGAGAGGGTTGTGTTCACCTGCATGGCGACCGCCAACCCTGAGATCAAAGGCTACAGGTGAGGGTCCCACAGGACCCCAGGAGGTCGCCCCCCAACCTCCTGGCTTGGGTTCAGCATCATATGGAGATGGGGGGGGTCAAAAGGGGCCCTGGGGGTCCCCTGAACGTGCCCGCCTTGGGTCTCTGCCCCCCCCCAGGTGGGCCAAGGGAGGGGTGATCATTGAGGATGCCAAGGAGAACAAGTACGACACACAGGTGGATTACACTTTCTTCACGGAGCCTGTCTCCTGCGAGGTGCACAACGACATTGGCAGCACCAACGTCAGCACGCTGGTGGACGTGCACTGTGAGTGGGGCAGCCCCCTCCCCGACATCCCTGAGCTGCTGCTGCCCCCCCCCCCCCAGGCTCTGCTTCTCACCCTCTTCCTCCCCCCACTCTCCAGTTGCTCCTCGGATTGTGGTGGACCCTAAACCCACCATCACAGACATTGGCTCCGACGTGACACTGACGTGCGTGTGGTCCGGCAACCCACCGCTGACCCTCACCTGGACCAAAAAGGAGTCCAACATGGTAGGGTCTGGTGGCTGGGGTGGGGGGATGGTCCAGGGGGGCCTCGTGCCCCCTCCCTGATGCCCCCATGGCACTTGCATCCAGGTCCTGAGCAACAGCAACCAGCTGTACCTGAAGTCTGTCACGCAAGCCGACGCAGGGCAGTACGTCTGCAAAGCCATCGTCCCCCGCATAGGCGTGGGCGAACGCGAGGTCACCCTTTTTGTCAATGGTGAGTGCTCCCCACCCTGGGAGCAGGTACCAGCCCCCCCGTGACAGACCCTGCTCCAGGACACAGATAGGTTGATGCCATTGCGATGCCCATGATAAGCAGTGCCTGCGGCACAGCGTGTGTCCCCCTCAACCCAGCGTTTCGGTCAAGCTCCCCCTTGCTTCTTGCAGGACCCCCCATCATCTCGAGTGAGGCCGTGCAGTACGCGGTACGTGGGGACCGCGGCAAGGTGGAGTGTTTCATCGGCAGCACACCACCCCCGGACCGCATCGTGAGTGCCACAGCGGGGGGCTGGGAGTGCCATGGGGGTGCTGGGGACAACGCTGAGCTGCAGGTGCTGACGCAGCCCCCTCTCCCCCACCCTGGCGGGGCCAGGCATGGGCCTGGAAGGAGAACATTTTGGAGGCAGGGACACTGGAGCGGTACACAGTGGAGCGGACTAACACGGGCAGCGGGGTCCTCTCCACCCTCACCATCAACAACGTCATGGACGCCGACTTCCAGACCCGCTACAACTGCACGGCCTGGAACAGCTTCGGGCCGGGGACCGCTATCATCCAGCTGGAGGAGAAAGGTAGTGCCGGCATGGCACCGTGACTGCCTGCCACGCCGGGACACTGGGGAGCCTGGCTAGGTCTCGGGCATTGCAGGCAACGGGGCTTCAGCAACAGCAGGTGCCCTCCTGCCACAGCCACCTCCTGGCAGTGCCCCTGTCCCCTGTCCCCAGCTAACGTCTCCCCATCTCCTGTAGAGGTCTTGCCCGTGGGCATCATCGCCGGTGCCACCATTGGGGCCAGCATCCTCGTCATCAGCTTCCTCGTCGCACTTGCCTGCTTCCTCTACCGGCGCCGGAAAGGAAGTGAGTGGGGCCCACAGCAGAGGGGAACATGGGTGCTACCCATGGGGGGGATGCTGCCCATGGGGCAGGGAGTGGGAGGATGCTGCTGGTGGCCACCTCCATCCCTGATCCCGCATGTCCCCAGGCCGTAAGGATGTCACCTTGCGCAAGCTGGACATCAAGGTGGAGACAGTGAACAGGGAGCCCCTGACGCTGCATGCGGACCGCGACGAGGACACAGCCAGCGTCTCCACGGCCACCCGCGTCATGAAGGCCATCTACTCGGTAAGGGACACCCCATGCTGGGGTGTCACCCTGCAAGCATCCTTCCCTGCCCTGCGCCGGGACGGATCAGACCAGGGAGGAACGAGCCCACCTCTCCCTCCCTCTCCTGCAGTCGTTCAAGGATGACGTGGACTTGAAGCAGGACCTTCGCTGTGACACCATCGACACCCGCGAGGAGTATGAGCTCAAGGTCCGGTGGTGGTGCCAGGGCACGTGGGGTGTAGAAGAGGGGCAAGTCCCGATTTTGTCCCAAGTCAGGAGGCTGCGAGATGCTCAGTGGAGGGGGCCGGGACTCGTGGGTCCTCTCCCCTGCAGAGCCCAGTCCCTGCTGGGCTCAGCACGTCCCCCCACTATCCCCATCTCCTTGCAGGACCCCACCAACGGCTACTACAATGTCCGCGCCCATGAGGACCGCCCGTCCTCCCGCACCGTCCTCTACGCTGACTACCGCAACCCCGGCCCAGCACGCTACGACACCCGCCCACCCTCCCGCCTCTCCCACTCCAGCGGCTACGCTCAGCTCAACACCTACAGCCGTGGTCCCACGTCCGACTACAACGCCGAAGCGGCACCAGGTCCCGGACCCCCTCCTGGCACAGCGGGTGGTGAGACGGCAAGCCAGCTCTCCTATGAGAACTATGGGGGTCACGCTGCCTTCCCGGCCGGCACCGGTTATGCCACCTACCGCCTGGGGTACAGTCAGCCCCCCAGCCTGGACCGGGCACCCTACGACGCCTACGACCCCATGGGCAAGTACGCCAGTGCCACCCGCTTCTCCTACACCTCCCAGCACTCGGACTACGGGCAGCGCTTCCAGCAGCGGATGCAGACGCACGTCTAGGGTGGGCAGGGGCTGGCAGGCAGCACCGAAAACAGGGGGATGGGGGGGCACAGGCAGCAGGGGTCCACAGGTACCTCACGACTGTCCCCTGATATTCAGGGGCTCATCCTGACCCTCCTGTCCCGCTTATCCTCCGGCAGCTGGACTCCCCATGCCGGGGTTTGCTGGCGGTGGGGACATGCCCCAAGTCTCTTCGAGCTTCCACACATTCAGTTCTTTCTTTTCGGTACCTTCCCAGAGGAGGGAGAGGGTTGGGGGGAATCCTCCCCCACGTGCCCACCCCATCTCCCCCCCTTCCCACCCAGCCTCAGCGGGTGCGTGCAGGTCCGCGCAGCTGTCGGGGCTAGCTCTGCAGCCTCCGCTCTCCCACCACCCTGGATTCCCCCCCCGAGCTCCACAGGGCCGGATCCTTCCCCGATGGGTCCCTAGTGCCCCTGAGCCAGCACCCGCTTCTCCCTCCTCTGCAGGAGCAGGGGGCTGCACATAAGCTTCCCCCAGAAACACCTCCCCCATCCCAGCCAGACCCCCGTGCGAGGGAGCAGGGAGGTGCTATATGTGTGTATATACGTATCTGTATGTACATACATATATGCAATGCCTGGTTTCTGGTTTCGTGCAAAAAAGCCCCAGCCCAGCCCATTCCCATTCCCTGTGCCTTGATTTCGGGGACAGCCCCCACTTGGGGCCGGCTCCCCCCTTCCCCATCTGTCCCACCTGCCCACAGCCCCTGCGCCCACCCTTGGAGCTGCAAGCAGGGGGTGCCCCAGGGGTCCCAGGGGATCAGGACCAGTGAGTTCTGAACAGCAGACCCCCGGCATCTGTGTGTGTCCCCTCCAATACGCACAGTCGTACCCATGGGACAGGCAGCGGTGGATTTCCATCCCGCTGTTGTCAGCCTGACCCTGAGCAACACCCTGTTGGACCAGCCAGCTCTGTCCCACCATCACTGCCACAGCCGGTGGCACCAGCCGGCATGGGGATTTGGGGGGGGAGGGTCCCTCTTATGAATGTATATAAAGGTGTATATAAGGGGTGTAAGCACCCTCCCATCCACCAGCAACCGTTACAGCTCTGCAACCCCATCCCCAGCATGCTCACGCCCCGGCCCCGAGGGTGTGGTGAATGTTTTGAGCCGTGGCAAACCAAACCAGCCAGGGGCGGGAGCTCGGCCAGTCCCCCAGCCCCAAGGACTGGGAGGCACTGGGCAGCCAGGGCGATGGGGGCCCTGATTTCGCTGCCTGCAGCAATAATGCTCGCCTGGCTGCTGGCTCAGAAGCTGGGGGACGGGGGTCTTGCCAGGGTGTGATGAGTTTTGGAGGGAGGGTGGAGGCACAAGGCGGGTTTTGGCTGGGGGAGCCTTTCCCAGTCACATTGCTGCCCGAAGCTGTCCCTGTGGTCCCCTGGGATTAGGTACGAAACACCTCCCCATGTATGCCTGCCCCACGGGGTCTGCCCCAGGAAGGCGGACGTACTTTGGGGTCCCCGTCCCGCCGAGCACACCCTGTTCCCAGCCGCCAACAGAGCCGGACCCCCGGTGGGCTGGATCTGGCCCCGACGCCAGCAGGTACGATTTTGGAGGGCTGCTGGGAGGGTTTGGGAAGGGGCTGGCAGAGCCGTGATGCTGATGCAGCCCCAGTGGCACAGCCAGAGGTGGGGAATAACTTGCCCCCCTCCCTTCCTCCTCGACCCCCCCCAAAAGGTACTGTCAGGACGGGCCAAACCCTGGAAGGTGCTGAGCCCGCGCCCAGCCTGAGCCTCCGACTGCAGGACTGCGTGCCATTTCTTTTAATGGTGCCTGATGTAACCCCCACCCCGACACCCTCCTCCTCACCCCGCCCCCCCCCACACACTCTCCCCGGGGACGGCCCCGTTTTTGGGGGGCTCCCATCCCAGGTGCTGCACCCCCACGTCAATAGCAATAGCCACTGCGGCAGCGCGGGACGGGCACCCTGCCCCAGCCATCCCCGGATGCCGTGAATCAAAGCCGAAGCTTTAAATTAAAACTCCCCCGGGGTGGGGAATGGGGCTCCCCCCCACCCCACCCCGAGACCACGGCTGAGCCCTCCCCCTTCCGGCACCGGGTGAGCGGGTCCCTTCCTTAGCACAGGCTGTTTTAGACCCCTAGAGACACGTATCTGTGATCCCCCACCCTGCCCCAACCTCCCATTTTTTATTTTTCATTTTCCTTTTTTTTAAATATTATGTACTATATTTTTAGTCTTAAACACAATATATTATATATATTTAATTTTTTTATATATATATATAAATATAAATGTTAAAAAAGGGAGCTGCAGTTCGCCTTTGTTCTGCGGGAGCATCGTGACGGGGTGGGCGCAAGTGACACCCCCCCCACGGGACAGAGCAGCTTGGAGGGGCTGGGAGGGCATCCGCAAGGTCTTGAGGGACCCAGTGTTGGGGACATGGATACTACAGCTGCCCCGGGGAGGGACGACCTCCTTCCCCATGCCCAGCAAGGGGCAACACTTGAACCTGGGGTGAAGTTTGCTCTGGTTCCTGTCCCCAGCGGGGACATGGGCCAGCAGGCCAGGGGGGGTCCGCTGGCCCTGCGGACACCAACCAAGCAGCCGAGGGGGCAGCAGGATGCGCACTGGGCTCCGCTGACCTATTTCGGCGATGCTTTTAGCTGGAGCCGATGCCAGGAGGGGCACGGGAGGCTTGCCAGCCCCTCCACACCCAGCCTGGCTTTTTTTTTTCTTTTTTTTTTTCCAGAAAACCCTGCAAACAGGCTCACTTAACGATTTTGTTTCCTTACAAATGTAGCCTATTACTCGGCGTGTTTCCACGCCTGGTTTATTATGCATCAACCAAGCAATTTGCCTCCTGCTCCCGGGGACCCATCTTTAAAACAAAAAAGGTGCTTTGTCATTCTTAATGGTTTTTGCTGGAGCGAGGAGCGGGCAGCTGGAAGCACGGATAGATGGATGGACATGGAGGAAAGGAAGAGACATTAAGTTTCTTCTCCGTCCATAACCCCTCTAACTCAAATGCTGCCACGCGAACCAAGCCAGGCAGCTTCAAAGAGATCGGCTCAGCGCCGAAATCCAAGCCCCGGAGGTGTTTCTACCTTGCTGAAGAGGCAGCCTCCTTTCCCCAGGAAACAAATCTCCCCTCCTCGCCATCCGGCTAATTTATTCCCGAGATGTATTCTAATTTATTCCCCAGGACGGCGGCAGGCTCACCGCCTCCTTGCAGCAGCACAGAAATCTCTCGCCTCGTTCTTCCTCCTGCTTCCCTCGCTGAGGCCGAAGTCTTCGGCGGGGGGGAGCAGGAGGGGGTGGAATTTGGGGTGGGCTGTGTGATTTTACTGTCGCTTCCATCTCCCTGCGTACCCGTTCTCCCCTCGATGCGACAGATAGGAGGGTGGCAGGCAGGAGGGTAGCATCTCTTGCCAAAGTTTGGGGGTGCAAGTGAAACCCCTGCCCTTGTCCCCACATTTGGGGGGGGGACGACACCAAGGTGTACCCACCTTCATATCCCAGGGTTTTCTCCAAAATCCATCCCAAGAAACACAAGCCTGCAGCTTGGAGCTTGAGTCACCCTGACAACTACAGTGAGTTAAAAAAAAAAATAAAATAAATTATAAGATTCCTTCATGAAAACCATCATTTGTCTCTCAGAGCCCAGCGCCTGATAACAACACACTGTAACCAAAGAGAGATACAATTCCTGTCCCTTCCCTCAGCACTGGTTGTCATGCTGGAATTTAATCTGTGATCCAGGCTGGTGATAAAATATAATTTGATTTCGTTCCTAATAAATCATGAACTCTGGAGAAGAAAGACGGTGGGAGAGTTAAGGTTCCCTGAATTTGTCTGTGTGGCAGAACAACATAAAATGGGGAGCTAATGCCAGCACCCCAGCTCAGAGCTTAACATGAACACCCAAAGTAGAGGTTACAGGCAGAAGACAAGCAGATGCTGCCTACCAGCAGGGCCAGGTCAGTCCTGGGAGCAAACCAGGATGGCACTGACCCTGGGACAGTGTGACCCAGTGGCCACCCCTCCAGCTGCAGCCCTTGGGCAGGACAGCTGCTTTGAGTTCAGTGGAGGAGGGGCCAAGGGCATGAGACCCCCCCCCCCCCCAAGTGCCAGTCCTCGGCCCTCACAGGCCTCCACAGCAGGCCTCAGCACCGGGCCTCAGTCCTCGCAGGCCTCCGGAGCAGGCCTCAGCGCCAGGCCTTGCCCTCACAGGCCTCCGGAGCAGGCCTCAGCAGCAGTCCTCGGCCCTCACAGGCCTCCGGAGCAGGCCTCAGCGCCAGGCCTCAGCCCTCACAGGCTTCAGGCCTCGGCCTCGCCCATTCAGGACAACCGCCCTGGCTCTCCCGAGTGCCGCAGCACCACCAGCGCCAAGACCGTCGGTCCCAGGCCCGCCCCGCTCCGCCGCTCCCCGCCCCAGCCAGGCACTGAGAAGCCCCGCCCCCACAGCGGGGCTATTTATAGCCTCGGGAATCCCGCGAGACTTGGGTGGGGCCCCCGTCAGGTGAGAACGAGGCGGGGCGGGGCGGGATGGGATGGGATGGGATGGGGTTTGCCTTCTGCGGTTCGCTTCGTGCGTCATCATTCGGCGCCCGGCGGCAGCCAGGCCCTGGGGCAGGGGGGTGGGGGGTGCCGGTTGGGGCCTGGAAGCAGCAGCAGCAGCAGCGGCGGGCGAATCCCCGGGAGGCTGGGGGTTGAGGGGCCTTTGGTGGGGTCAGAGAGCACTGGGCCGTGGGGGCCTGAGGGGGGCGGGAGCCTCCAGAGGTGTTGGGGGGGACGCTGAGGCCCGGGGCTGTGGTAGGCCCAGGGCTGGGGCCTGAGCCTGGGGGCTCTACCCAGAACTGGGGGGCACTGGGGACCTTGGGGGGGGTCTGCTACCCCCATAACCCTGTTCTGCTCCCTGGCTGGGGGGCAGCATCTTGGCTGAGGTGGGCAGGGTCTGTCTGTGTGTGTGTGTCCCCTCGCTTCCATCTGCAGCCTCACCCACAGGCAGGCCTCTGTCCCCGGCTGCACCCCGAGCAGCGCACGGTCT